AATGCAGCTATCAATGATGCTAAAGTGGGTTTTATAGGCAGCCATCTTGTTTTCATGTATTTTTGGTGCAACTTTTCTTTCTCTTTATTGATATTTGTGAATATTATTCAGGATCAGCTCCTGAACGAAGCACGAGATGTTCTTTCTGATTGGTTGGATGGTAAATTTGGAAGCGCGGTCAATGATCACAGCGTGTTGATAACCTCGCTAAAGCGTACGTGCTTGTGGTTTTTAATGTGTTCTTGATCTTGTTCTTTTTGTTTTTTTTGCATGTGTTCTGAGCAACGCTGGTATAACTCTGAATTCTGTAGAATTGTCGTGTCATTCTGTAGAACTCATTTTTAGGTACGAAAGCGAATTCCTCCAGGATATGGCACGCCTCAACGTTCTTCCTGCAGACATCGTAACCAGGGTCTCAGAATATGTGCCAGAGATTGTCGCCTATGTGGAAAAAATAATAGCGAACGGATATGCTTACACTACTAATGACGGCTCTGTGGGTTTTCTATCTATATGAGGTTGACTTGGATTCGTGGACTGCTCCATTTCATTTAGTACTTGTTTTGAATTATTTAAAATTTTCGTTTTTCTATTGTTGGAACTCTGCATTGGCGCATAACTTCTCCAGAATAGTCTTTCCTTGCTCCAAAGTTTTACGCAGACCTTCCGAAGTTGCCGTCTTGTTCACTGCCGATGCTAGCTTGTATCAGTGGCCTGGGTTTGGCACGGCGCCAGCCCATTCTCAACCAGTTATGTAAGCGTGCACACGACAACAGTTGGAAAATGGGCTGGCGTCGCGCCAAAATCACCCATCTATTACGGCACATTGTCTGCAACGAACAAGACGTTGAGATATCACTCGATGGCTGTGAAAGTCAGGCCGCGGTAGCAGGCATCTTGCTCTAACAATTTTAAGCTTGCAGATGGCGCGAGAGCTTGCGGGAGAAAATTCGAAAAGCGAAGAGAGCCAAAGATTTCTTCATCTTTTGAATATTGTCGTCGGAGATATAGCCGATAGCATTTTCCCTCTCTATCGGGACATTTTCTTCTTTTTCAAACTCCGTTGGAGTTCATCAGTTGCTTCCCCATTGTGACGAATAACCACTTCCATACTCACCCGCAACAAAAGCTTTGAAACCTGTCAAGGAAATCATGAGGGATAGTGGAGCTATTCTGATTATATAGCAGCTTTCATCAAGGGTTGTGAGAGGTTCAAATTTACTGAAGCTCTCGGAATCATGGGCTGTTCATAGAAACTGTAATGAGAGTCTTCTGATCTCTTGTCACAACAAAAATCACTGAAAATAAAAGTTCTTTGATTATGCTGAAAAATCGAACAAATGAGAAATGTCGAGGGGTTCTAGAGCAGAGAGGTAGCTCAGCTCCTCAATACGTATTCCTTGTTTCAGGTCTACTTCGATACGAAAGCTTTTGAAAACAATCCAAAACATTTCTATGCGAAACTAGTACCAGAAGCCTATGGTGATACTGAGTCGTTGGAGAAAAATATGCGTGAAGGCGAAGGAGAACTCAGTATGACGGCTGACAGACTAATGGTGAGTGCTTGCTTCTCGCTCGAAGCCAGTCCCCGCGCTCAAGCAATTCGTAGGCGTCCTTCCTATGAGTAATCTGATCGTCGGTCTTTAAGATTATACCATTTTTGCGGCTCACAGTTAGTAACGAAGGTGCTGTGGTCCTCCTGAGTGGAGGTTCTAACCCTCTCTGATGGTCCCGCCCCTATATCAAAGGCTATTTCCTGCCACGCGTTCAGTTTTACACCGCGTTTTTGTTTTTTTCACTGTTAGATGGTATTAGCATTAGATGACGTGAAGAAACGTTTAGAGAGCCAGAGGAAAGAAGGAGATTGTTCAGGCGGTCAGGTCCTTAGGTTAGGGTGTTCTCCATGATTTTCTTTTGATTTTTCTACCCTGGAAAGTCGCTTAGCGACTATTAGTTTGTAACTGAACGCCACTATCTACGATGAACAGGTGTTCAAAGGCTAACCATTCTTTCCATTCTTGATTATCTTATTTCAGCAAAAACGAAATCCATCTGACTTTGCACTCTGGAAGTCATCGAAGGAAGGAGAGCCGTTCTGGGATAGTCCGTGGGGGAAAGGTAATATTTATTTATTTAATATTTATTTATTGCATATTTGTTGACTTAATCTTGTCAGCTCGACAATTTGTGTTCCTTTGGATTAACATGAAACCTAACTTTCACCAACTGACGAAATGACATCGCTACTCTTCTCTTAACCTAGATGTTTAGTGATAGAGAAAAGCAAAATTTGCATGTAACAGATGTTCTCTTATCGTCAACGTAGGACATCGTAGTAGAAATAGAATTCAGAGTGAATTTCAGCGCATTTGACGTAAGGAAATTTGATTTCAGGTCGTCCTGGTTGGCATATTGAATGCTCGGTAATGTCTACGGCAGTATGCGGAGATAAACTCGACATTCATGCTGGTGGATTTGATCTGAAGTTCCCTCATCATGATAATGAAATAGCTCAGGTAAAATTCTCAACTTCCATACTTTCCTTGTGACCCGACTAAGCACCCAAATATGAGATCATTGTTCAGGTTGAAGCTTACTATGACAACCCACAATGGGTTAATTACTTCCTTCACTGTGGCACACTTCGGATAGCTGGCATGAAAATGAGCAAATCGCTGAAGAATTTCATCACTATTCGCGAAGCTCTTCAAACATTACACCTCTAGGCAACTGCGGTTCTTGTTTCTTATGCACAGTTGGACGCGACTGTGCTGGTTACAGGTACATGCCTTCTGCCCTTTGGCTTTTTAGGACGCCAGTTCGGCGACAGTGTGGGGGGGGGGGGAAGGGGCTAGGGTTGCTTTTTCACCGCTTCACTCACTTCTTTTACATGTGCTGAAATCTAGTGAACTCTTGTGTAAGCTGGAGCGAGCTCTCACTGAGCCACCATGGTAAAATGGTGTTTATATGGTATTTCATTGCTTTACAGGAGTTGAGAGGTGGTCTCCACAAACTTTGACCGGCATCTTTTCGTGACTTCATAGGATTTCGCATGTCTCTACTTGACAGTTCGACACGTCGATGGGTAGGAGCAAAAAGTGCAAAATGCCCCCTTGTCGTCAAACTGCACCCTGCTTAATCCTCCAAGAACCCTTTAATCAAATGCTGTGTTGGTGCTTCTCGAGCGATTCATTTCTAGATACGGCACAGCAAATGGAACGAGCTATGCAGTTTGAGAAAATTTCCAACGAATTTTTCTTGCTGGTTAAGGATTTGTTGCGTAAATATTACAAACCGGATAGCCCTCAGGTATCTAGCTGTTGTGATCCCGCATCTGCATCCTTTTAACTTATGACATGTATTGTTTCAGGGATACGTTAAATACAGTTCTCGTGAACTTCAGATCATGGAGGAATTTCTCTAACATAAAAAAATGATGTCAGTTTGCTCTTTTGTCTGCTTTCGTTTACTTTTTGGATCGTTTCCTCTGCTAGATTCACAACGCCCTCTGCGATTCCATAGACATCGAGGACTGTCATGGACAAATTTGCGAGATCTCATTGGTAATCGGAAATGCATACTGTAAATGGAGAAGTGGGACTATGCATTATAAACGCTCTTGTTGGCTTCCTCAGCAATTTGATTTTTAGGAAAGGGAAGGCGTTGCTCCGAATTGTCTTTTGCTTCGAAATATTGCCGCATATATGACGGACCTATTCGTAATGTTTGGCGTTATTCCTAAGTCTGGAGAAATAGGATTCCATAGAAGCGTTCGGTTCGTTATTATCCAAGGTGCATGTCTTGTGGTTCGTCTTTGCTGTAATCAAGTTATGTTTTAAATGTGCGGTTTCACGCGGTTTGTCAGATTTCGGCCTTGGGCTGAGGTTAAGCGCTTCTGCCTATAAGTCCCTGATTAAGTCTTTGGAAACAGAACTCATCACGATAAAGCATACGAAAAAAGGTAAAGTTTACAAGCTTGCGGTTCACATCCGAATCGCTCATCTTTACGTGTGAATGCTGATGAACTATGGCCTAAAATCCATCGAGGCACGTTCCACGTTCACTCGATGTTGGGGAGCCTTCTACGGGCATGGTAGTGGCGTCTGCGAGCGATGTACCATTTTCGTGGCTCAAAAATAATTAAGAAAGTTGCGGCCTCGGTCGCTCTTGTTACGAAGGCACGCTGCAACCACTGCCCGACGGAACACACAACTTTTATTTTCTTCTTTTTTTCATTTTTCAGCTTGGGTTCTAGATGGGGTATCTCGCATAATTTTTTCATGCTTTTTTTCTTATTTGTTTAGTCAGTTACCACCTTGTTATCAATATCAATTTGAACCGCGCAACACTTTTAGAGACGGGCGTACCTTCCAAAGCACGCCTCAGATTCGAAATTATAAGTTATGCGGCTCAACTTCTTATGACAAAGTAGTGAGTGAGAAGAAAAAAGCAGATAAAACCTCCCCGGAAATGCCCCCATGTAGAACCCCATGCTGAACCGCACTTATTCGTGCTTAAGACGAATGGGCGTGGTCGAACGAGTTTTCACTTTTGGTGCTAGCTCTTTCTCATTGTCACATCACTCTCGTCATTCGAAATGAAAGAGGAACGGAACGACCGTACTATCAGGTAGCAGCTAAAAATGAAACCTGTTCCTTGTCGCGGTTAGCGAGCGGGGGTGCAGTCCCGTCGCGAGGGGTGGCGCTTTCTCCACGTAGTTTTGAGCTGCCAAGTTAGCACTGACTCCATCCTTGCAGGGAGAGCTACCATGTCCAAAGTAGGCGCTCGAACATCAGATGAACGCGGGCGTGCCTCTGAGCTGAGATGTTGAAAGGCGATCATGATAGTGATGGATAGTGTAATTGGTTTG